TTTAACATTCTTTTTTTAAAATTTTGAGTTCCAAATTCTCTCCCTCTCCCCTCCCTGAGACAGCAAGCAATTTGATATAGGTTACACGTGTGCAGTCACACAAAACACATTGTCATATTAGTCATTTTGTGAAAGAAAACAGACAAAACAGAAAGAAAATAAAGAAGATAAAAAAAATATGCTTCAATCTGCATTGAGACTCCATTGGTTCTTTCTCTGGAGGTAGATAGCATTTCGCATTATGAGTCCTTCAGAATTGTCTTAGATCATTGTTTTGCTGAGAATAACTAAGTCATTCACAGTTGATCCTTGTACAATATTGCTGTTATTGTGTACAGTGTTCTCCAGGTTCTGCTCACTTGACTTTGTGTCAGTTCATTAAGTCTTTCCAAGTTTTTCTGAAAACATCCTGCTCATCATTTCTCGTAGCACAATAGTGTTCTATCTCAATCATATACCACAGTTTGTTCAGCCATTCCGCAATTGATTCCCTCAATTTCCAATTCCTTACCACCACAAAAAGAGCTGCTAGAAATATTTTTTGTACAAATAAGTCCTTTTCACCTTTTTTTGGATCTCTTTGGAATATAGAATTAGTAGTAGAATTGCTGGATCAAAGGGTATGCACAAATTTATAGCCCTTTGGGCATAGTTCCAAATTGCTCTTCAGAATGGTTGGATCAGTTCACAACTCCAGTAAGAGTGCATTTGTGTCCCAATCTTCCCCTCCACCATTTGTCATTTTCCTTTTCTGTCATACTAGCCGATCTGATAGGTGTGAGGTAGTACCTCAGAGTTGTTTTAATTTACATTTCTCTAATCAATAGTGATTTAGAGCATTTTTTCATATGACTATAGATAGCTTGGATTTCTTCATCTAAAAACTGCCTGTTCGTACTCTTTGACCATTTATCAGTTGGAGAAGGACTTATATTCTTATAAATTTGACTCAGTTCTCTACATATTTGAGAAATGAGGCCTTCATCAGAGAAACTTGCTGTAAAAACATTTTCCCCAATTTCCTGCTTTCCTTCTAATCTTGGCTACATTGGTTTTGTTGTGCAAAACCTTTTTCGTTTAATGTAATCAAAATCATCCATTTTATATCTTGTACTGTCTATCTCTTGTTTGGTCATAAATTCTTCCCTTATCTACCAATCTGACAGGTAGACTCTTCCATGCTCCCCTAATTTGCTTATGGTGTCATTCTTTATGTCTAAATGTACTCATTTTGACCTTATCTTGGTATACAGACTGAGATGTTGAACTATACCTAGTTTCTGCCAAATTGCAAAGCTATCTTTTAAGAGGAAGCCCCCATCATCAACATTTCACCCACAAAGTTCAGCAGAAAGAGATTGAAAGAGATATTCCATTTAAAATAACTGTAGACAGTATAAAAATACTTGGGAGTCTGCCTGCCACGATGAACCCAGGAACTACATGGACAAAATTACAAAACACTTTTCACAGAAATGAAATCAGATCTGAACAATTAGAAAAATATTAATTGCTGATGGGTAGGCTGAGTATAATAAAAATGAAAGCTAAATTAATTTACTTACTCAGTGCCATACCAATCAAGCTACTGAAAGTTATTTTATAGAGCTAGAGAAAATTCATCTGGAAGAACAAAAGGTCAAGAATATCAAGGGAATTAATTTTTCAAAATGTGAAGGAAGGCGGACTAGCGATACCAGATCTCAAACTACATTATAAAGCAGTAATCATCAAAATCATTTGGTAATGGCTAAGAAATAGAGTGGTGAATCAGTACGATGAACACAGTACATAGTAGTAAATGACCATAGTAGTCTAGGGTTTGATAAACCCAAGATCCAGGCTTTTGGGATAAGAATTCACTATTTGACAAAAACTGCTAGGAAAACTGAAAAACAGTTTGGCAGAAACTAGGTAAAGACCAACATCTCAATCCATATGCCAAGATAAGGTCAAAATGAGTACATGATGTAGACATAAAGGGTGATACCGTAAGCAAATTAGGAAAGCATGGAAGAGATTACCTGTCAGATCTATAGATAAAGGAAGAATTTATGACCAAATAAGGGATAGACAGCATGACAAGTTATAAAATAGATGATTTTGATTACATTAAAATTTAAAAATTTTTGCACAAGCAAAATCCATGCAGCCAAGAATAGAAGGAAAGCAGAAAGCAGAGGAAAAAATTTTTTTACATTAAGTGTTTCTGATAAAGGCCTTATTTTTCAGATGTATGGAGAACTGTGTCAAATTTATAAGAATACAAATCATTCCCAATTAATCAATGGTCAAAGAATACGAACAGATAGTTTTCAGATGAAGAAATCAAAGCTATCTATAGTCATAAAATGCTCTGAATCACTATTAATAAGAGAAATGCAAATTAAAACAACTCTGAGGTACTACCTCACACCTATCAGATTGGCTAGTATGACAGAAAAGGAAAATGACAAACATTGGAAAAGATGTGGGAAAATTGGAACACTAATGAACTGTTGGCGGAATTGTGAACTGATCCAACCATTCTAGAGAGTAATTGGAACTATGCCCAAAGGGCTATAAATCTGTGCATACCCTTTGACCCGGCAATGCCACTACTAGGTCTGTATCCCAAAGAAACTTTTTTAAAAGAGGAAAAGGACCTATTTGTACCAAAAAAATATTTATAGCAGGTCTTTTTGTGTTGGCAAAGAATTGGAAATTGAGTGGATGCCCATCAGTTGGGGAATGGCTGAACAAGTTGTGGTATACAATTGTAATGGAATAATATTGTGCTATAAGAAATGATGAGCAGGATGCTTTCAGAAAAACCTGGAAAGATATACATGAACTGATACAAAGTGAAGTGAGCAGAACCTGGAGAACATTGTACACTGTAATAGCAATATTGTACAAGAATCAACCGTGAATGAGTTAGCTATTCTTAGCAATACAAAGATCCAAGACAATTCCAAAGGAATTTATAGCCCTTTGGGCATAGTTCCAAATTGCTCTCCAGAATGGTTGGATCAGTTCACAACTCCACTAAGAGTGCATTTGTGTCCCAATCTTCCCCTCCACCATTTGTCATTTTCCTTTTCTGTCATACTAGCCGATCTGATAGGTGTGAGGTAGCTATTCACCTCCAGAGAAAGAACTGATGATGTCTGAATGCAGATCAAAGCATACTATTTTTCACTTTATTTTTTGTGGTTTTTTTGGTCTGTGTTTTCTTTCACAACATGACTAATAGGGAAATATGTTTTGCATGGCTGCACATGTATAACCTATGTCAAATTGCTTGCCTTGTCAATGATGGGAGAGAGGAGGTAATGAGAGAATTTGGAAATAAAAATTTTTTGAAAATGAATATTAAAAAATTGTTTTTACATGTGATTGGAAAAAAAACAAAATATTATTTCAAAAAAAGAGCAAGCCCCCATAATTGTTAGACCCAAAGTGCTTATGAAGAGGCCTTTAGTTCAGCCCCAATCCTCAAGTTGTTACTAGTACCACCGTGGCATGTGCACATGGTACCTGAGTAACAAAATTCAGCCTAGGGCTTGGGGAAGGGAGTGTTAGTATAGGGAGTGTCCTTGGTCAGATTTCCTAGGTAGGGGCTACTTCCTGCCCCTTTCCCCTGCCTGCAAAAAAGCAGTACTTGGAAGGGCTCTCTCTGGCTTTCATGTGGCAATCTTCTGATGTCCCATGGTTGAGGAGCACTACCCCAGAAGCAAAAAGCTCTGCTGGGTCTGCTTGCCCAAAGGGAATACTGGCCTGTTTTCTCCTGATGTCTGTGAGTAGTGGCTGTTTGATTTCTCCAGCTAGCTGAAACCCTACCAGAGCATCTCACTTAAAAAGAAACTCTCCATGGCTTTTGCCACATACAGTACCATTCCAGATGCCAAAGAATTAACCATGCAGCAGTATCTGTATTACATAAAAAGAGCCAGAAAGAGGGATGGACAAACATCAGGGAGACTCTGGCTGCTTAACAGCCACAGCTGAGAAGGAGCCTTGGGCAAGCTATGCGCCCCTGGAGGGGTGGGAACCCTCCAGTCAGCCGCTTGACCTCATGGTCATGACCTTATTGCACATGACCAGGAAACCCCAAGTTCAAATGCTGGCTTTGTCGTTGGCTTCTTGTGCTTCTGTTTGATTTAGACAAATTCAATGCAACAGACATTTATTAAACACCTACTGTATGTAGTAAAACCCCAGGCTCACCACTGGGCATGCCCAGAAATGTATGTCATAGACCAAGCTTCCAAGGAACCTGCAATCCAAAATAGGGTAATATAGCGTGTGCACCAAGGAGAGTGAGGACCTTACAAAGGAGTAGTCTAGGCATTGTGCAAAGGAAGAAGCCTTTTGCCTGGGGCTGGAAGAGTGTCCAGCAGGGATCAGGAACTCTTCTGTCATTGGGTAGGCAGTAGGAGTCTTTGAAGATTGGAATGGAGAAGTGAACTGATGAGCCATACATGAGGTTATTTGTCCCTTGGGCAACAGTGTGAAGTCTCCAGTGGAGAAGAGAATGACTGCTGCTGTTTGCAGACATGGGGAAGCGTGGCCATGCTTCTGTTGCTAGTGTGGGAACGGTGATGACCACCTCTCCCTATTGAACTGACATCAAGTCAAGGCGTTGTTGTGTAGTGGAAAAAACATTGGATTTGCAAGCAAAGGACGTGGGTTCAAATGCTGGCTCTAATGTTTACCACCTGTCCAAGTGACCTTGGGCCAATCATCTCCCTTCCACTGAGTCTCCATTTTCTCACTTCTAAAATAAGGGGATTGGAGCAGCCTTAAATCTTGGGAATTCTATTGTAAAGAGAGCAGAATCCCACAACAGAGGAGTGACCCAGTTAGTGGGGTGTGGGTGACTGTTGGACCTGGAAATGGAAGGGCCAGTTTTTCTTAAGGTAAAAAGTAAAGAAAGCTTGTGATTAAACAAAATTCCTTTTGGAACCATGAGAACTAGACGCCCAGAGAGTGGGCATTGATGTGTTTTTTTATTTCAGTCATCTACCTCACAGTGTACCATGCCCTCTTCGTTTTCTTCATCTGGACCTACTGGAAATCAATCTTCACTCTCCCACATCAGCCACACCAGAAGGTAAGTGGAGGGGGAAGGTGAGAGACTGGGACTGCAGGGGTTTGGAGAAGAATGAGCCAGGTGGATCAGAGCTGGAAGCCCTATGCCCTTTTATTTGGATTGTTCGTGGGCAGGCCATGTGGCTAACACAGTCAAAGAAGCCCGAGGGGAATGGCAGAGGCAGCAAGGGAAGGATACCACAGTGTCCATACACATACACACACACACACACACACACACACACACACACACACACACACACTCTCTCTCTCTCTCTCTCTCTCTCTCTCTCTCTCTCTCTCTCTCTCTTTCTCTGTCTCTCTCTCTCTCTCTCTTGCAGTGGCTGACACCTCCAAACTAGGCCAGCCTATCCCTCTGAACTTGGGACCAATCTCTCTGGAGCAGCCCAGGGAGGGATATAAGCAGGGCTGCCCCCAGGGGCATTGGGCACCGAGGCAAGAAGAGGGCCTGGTGACCTTGTGAGAGGCCGCCTCCCAGGACTTGGTGCCTCTTATACCAAACTCACATAGAGACTTTGTAGACTAGGGACCTCTTCCCCATACTTATTTGGGAGTTCATCTTCATTCTATGTGTCAGGGCATCTCTAGGGTCAGGGTAACCACCATATTTTATAAGGAAAGTATTTTGGTTCCCCCATTCCTGAGGTCAGAAGAGCCAGCTAGGAAATGGGAAGTTTCTAGTTTAGAAGGTCCTAAGTGTAGATGTTTCCAGATTTGGGGGGTGGAGGGGTTGATGATTGGGGGAGAGCTCTAAAAACCACTGGGCAACAAGGGGGGATGTGGCTAAGGCATAGACTGCTTGTTGAATGGCAAAAGACTTTTCTTTTTCTGGGATGTAACAAGAAGGGTGCCAGAATCTTTCAAAGGCAAGTAGAGGTGGACAGACAAAGCAGATTGCCCAAGAGAGCTTGGACGTGTGCAAAAGGAAGCCTGTGTTAGCAGTAAGAGGACATCCTCCAGTAAAGACCTCCTCAGACCCCCCAGGGTAGCATTCTTTTCTAGTATGAGTATGTCTGTTCTTTTTTTTTTTTCACACTGCCTTTTCAACTATCCAGTTGAACCCAATCAGCTGAAACCATTCAGCTCTAAGTCCACGAAAACTTGCTGATTCCAGTAGCCAAAGAAAGTTCCATCTGTGGCCCAAGAAAAGCCACATCAGAGAGCCCCTAGACAGCTACTTCAATCAGCAGCTTCCAAGATGAAGCCTTTTCTCTCTCCTTTGGGAGAATGTGTGGCCATGGCAGGCACATTCACGTGTGTGTGCACCCCCCCCCCTCCCCGCCCAGTCTCCTCCCCCAAATAAGTGTAAAGAAGAGGCCCTGAAGACTTCTGACTTAATCTCTGCTCTCCTCACACCATCTGGGCAGTTTATGGTCTGGCAGAGATTTGAAGTGCTCGGGAGAGCAGATAACAGGATGGAAAGAAGCATCGAAGATATCTACCCTTAAAGTCCTGTGTCTTTCTTAGTTTGGATTAGTAAAGAGGGGATGAAAACTCCTTGGGGACTCTTTGAGTGCAATGAAGCATTCATTCCTCCTGCACCAAACAGTGCAGTACCAAGGTTTTCGCCCCCAAATGCATTGACTGACTCACTGTCTGCCACCTGGTCTTGGCTGTGCTACCTAGACCTTCTCTCTCATTTTGGTTCCCTTTGACTTTGTTGGCCTTGTTTAGCCTCTGTCATTTTGCACCCTTGGACAAGTCCCTTCCCTTTCCCCCTGGCCCTCAGTTTCCTCTTCTGTCAAGTGAGGGCTGAACTAAGTGATTTTTGAAGTCCAATAGTAACCTACCCTGTGATTCTCAATGCCCATGAAGTGCCCAGCATTCTTCCAAACAAGCAAGAGTCCCACCTCGGTCTTCCAGAGCACCAAACCTGCAGATCACATTCAGCATGCTCATGCTGCCCAGAGTTGGGGCCAGCCCCATGCTCCTCTGGCATGGCCTTGTGGGAAGGCAGTGACTTCTCATGCCTTAGTTATACTTTTGATTAGATTTCTTTGATTACCAAGAGCAAGAGGGATCTTTGAAACTTACTTAATTTTTACATTCTTCCATTTCTATCCTTCATTCTCCCAGGACAACAAAGTAAACCAGCTTGGTCAGCCAACTTTTTCTGTCTACTTCAACTATTTTTCATTTTTCTGGAACTTCTTTATAATGAAAAAAAAAATGTGGTTCTTGATATGTAGTGCTTTTTTTCTTTTTGCATACTTCTAGTGATAGGCATCTCATCACCTTCCAATGCAGCACATCCTAGTTTTGGACAGCTCTAATTATTAGGAAGGATTTTTTTTTCCCTTTTATTCTGATGTGTAGTCAAGATTTACCTGTGGTCCACCCATTGTTCCTAGTCCTGTCTGTGGGATTAAGCAAAACAAGTCTTAATGCTTCTTCTGTGTGATCATCCTTCAAATATTTGAGTGTCGCCATCACGGGCCTCTTAAGTCTTTTCTAGTCTAGGCTAAGCATTCCCATTTCCTACAGTCAGTCTTTTTATGGCCTGACTTCAAATCCCATCACCATCCTGGTCACCCTCCCCTGGCTTTGATCCAGTTTGCTAGTGTCTTTCATAAAATATGGTGCTCAAAATGGAATACAGTATTCTAGCAGCAGCTCGACCAGAACCGAGTACAGCAACATTTCCGAAATTCTGATGTTGTGCAGTCCAGGTTGAGCTAGATTTTTGGATGAACAGCTGATACCATTGACTAATACTGAGCTTGTTAGACACTAAGGCCCCCAGATCTTTTTTACTTGACCTGTTGCTTATGTGTCTCTCATCCTGTCATTGTGTATTCAGTTCTTATGGTTGACTTAAAAAAACATTCTGACACCATTTTTAATGGTTAGAAGAACTGTAAACCCAAAGGGGAGTTTACATTTCTTAACAGCATCCCTTTTGAGCAACAGTATCACCCGTGGCAAACAAAGATTTTTTTCATCCCCTTCAAGGATTTCATCCCCCTCAAGTAGCAGAATTTAGTGACCACTTGCTATTGTATATTTCTCATGAAATTTGGGGCCAGGGTTCTTTTAAGACTGAGAACATACAGAGGCAGCTAGGTGGCACAGTGGATAGAGCACTGGCCCTGGAATCAGCAGGACCTGAGTTCAAATGTGGCCTCAGACACTTGACACTTACTAGCTGTGTGACCCTGGGCAAGTCACTTAACCCCATTGCCTAGCAAAAAACAAAACAAAAACAAACAAACAAATACAGTATCAGGCTCTAAACCAGAAATCCAGGATTGCAAAAGTCTTGAGAAGAGCTTGTTTCTTATAAGGCTGCACCAAATTAGGGCATGTGGAGGAGTCCCCCTCCAGCCTCATGAAGAGTTTTCCAGGCATCCCCCAGGAGGCATACTTGCCACTAGCCAAGCACAGTAGCCATCAGTAAGGTTCTGGATCATAGCCAGCTGGCTGGCATTGAAGTGATAGACTTTGTAACCCAATTTCACCAGGCTAATGGTTGGCTGAACAAAGAGCTTTATTAAAAACAAACAAGAAAAAAAAAAGGTTTAAGAGTGAAACGGGGGGGGGGGGGGGGGGGAGCCCAGTTCTGCCTGTTACCATTTTCTGCCCAACTCGAGGTGTTTATTGCTTTCTGAACGACGCATCCCAGCACTTAATTATCTTTGCACATGGCATCTGAACTCTTTGGTCCTTTTCTTTCATACTGACCGATTCTTATTTTGTGCTTCAGCCTTCACTTGCAAGATATCCACCAACAGGATGAGCCTGGAACAACCTTTATTTATCTCTTTTTTAAAACCATCAGTGACTCATTTATCCTGCAATCAGGATAATTGGTCAGAAACCATTTCCTTGTTAATTGCACATAAAAAAGCTCTCAAGTCAGATTTGAAGCCGGGACAGGTAATTGGGGTTTGCTTATGGATGAGATTTTCAAAGGCTTTTCTCTGTACCTTGAACTAAGTGCATGTTTGTTTGTGTTCTTTTTGTTTTTAGTTCTTCATGTCCTACGGAGACAAGGAACGCTATGAAAATGAAGAAAGGCCTGAGGTTCAGAAGCAAATGCTCCTTGACATAGCCAAGAAGTTGCCGGTGTATACAAGGACTGGGAATGGAGGTGGGCTGATGGGGGGGGGGGGGGGGGGGGGGGGGAAGGGGAGGGCTAGGAAAGGAAGCCCAAAATGAGAGTGGGCTCAGGACTGTTATGCGGGCCAAACCAGGAGGCCATACAGCCCCGTTTCTCCAGCAAGCACCATGGAGTCTTTCCATTGGTTTCGGATATTCCTCATCTGCCTATTTGCCCCACAACCAGTATAGCTGAGATCCTGCTAGACCCAGCTGATCGCACTGTAGCTGACACAGAGCAAGGTTGTTCTGCCTTGAGGGGAAGGGGCAAGGAGGGGGTCCTACTCAACATAGATCCTTGAAATCAGTATGCCGTGCCAGAACGCTGTAGCCAGTACAGACCAAAGGAGGATTAGTTTGGGGGAGGGGAAGGGGAGTCTTGTTCAATACATATCGAGTTGACTTTTGTGATGACTGCATGGTTTTCAGAACAAATCAAATGTCGTGTGCCACTCTGCATATTCTGGTTAGTTGGGGGAAAAAATTCTCTAGGCCTATACAGCAAAGTCTTCACCGAACTATCAATCTGCCACGTGTTGCATCCAAATGAAGAGCAAATGAAAATATGTGCGTTCTGTCTGAGTCTCATCCAGCTTATTCCTGCTACTTTAAACTCCCTTTTTAAACTCCACTACTTTAAACTCCCTTTTGGGCTTATAGTGCTTCCAACCACTAAAAATGGGGTTAGAATTTTTAAAAAATCAACCATAAGAACCGAATACATGATGACAGGATGAGAGAGCCATAGATAAGCAACAGGTAAAGTAAAAAAAAAAAAAATCTGGGGATCTTAGTGTTTACTGTATATCCCACATATAGTACCTTCCTGGATGCCTCGTTTCCTCATTACGTGTGCTCCCCTCTACCAATGTAGATGGCAAGCCTTTCCAGCTTTAATAGGAAAACTTCATGAGTTGCTCAGGCCAAAAAATTCACTCTCAGCCAACCAACCTTGTTGTGAGGAGTCCCCTTGAGCTACACTAGGCCACACCATCACTGGGCCAGGCTTTTGCAGCCTGGAAGGCCCTCCCAGAGCTTGTGCCCCACTGGCCTTCCTCTTAATCCCCTCGGCTCACCACAGTAAGGGCTTTAGTAGAGGACTGTCCCTACCATCCTGTAAGATCATAGGACCCAAGATCTACAGGTGGAAGAGGCTTCACAGGTCTCAGAATCCCACCTCTTCATTTCACAGAGAGGGGAAACTGAGGACCAGAAAGGTTATGACTTGCCCAAGGTCATATAGGGAATACATGTCTGGGATTTGAATGCAGAACCTTGAACCTTGAAAGTTTTCTTTCCTCAGTGCCATGTTCCCTCCTTAGCATATGTAGGAACAAGAGCCATGCTGTCCTTTAACAACCGCTCTTTGTAGAACAGTTTCTGATCTTTACCTAATTATAATTCAGCCCCTAGATGCCGCAGAAGTAAATTGTTAATCTTTATTTTTATAAAGAGGAAACTGGGGTAAAAGATGTCTAAGTAAATTGCCCTAGGCTAGTAAAGCCGTTGGTAGCAGGGCTTGGTTTTTTTTTTCATAGATTTTACTGATATCCTTGGTTTTTATGTCATCTAGATTTCCCCCTGTATCCCTCCCCTCCCTGTCCTTCACAGCCCTCCTGTATAACAGAAATTTTTTTTAAAAATTAGCAAAACCAATCAATACATTGAAAAAACCTGAGATTCTATGCATTG